TCCGCTCTCGCCGCGGCCGCCCCCCTTTGTTTTGCCGCCTGCGCGGCTGGGACCTGCGCTCGAGGACCAGGGCTGTGGGGCCCGAAACGCAGCGTGGGGTGGGATTCTTTTTAAGAAAAAGAATGCAGGTCGGGCGCGGTGGTTCGCGCCTGCAATCCCAGCACTTTGGGAGGCCGAGGCGGGAGGATCACCTGAGGTCGGGAGTTCGAGACCAGCCTGACCAACATGGAGAAACCCCGTTTCTACTAAAAATACAAAATTAGCTGGGCGTGGTGGCGCGCACCTGTAATCCCAGCTACTCGGGAGGCTGAGGCAGGAGAATCGGTTGAACCCAGGAGGCAGAGGTTGCGGTGAGGCGAGATCGCGCTATTGCATTCCAACCTGGGCAAGAAGAACGAAACTGCATTTCAAAAAAAAGGAATGGAAAACTATGAAAACATGGGTGGCAAAAATGAATGGTTTTGCATATGCTTATTTTCTGTAATGTATAAAGTGTATATGTTGTACGACAATAATTATGTAATACCCTATTTTACAGCTATTTTACAGTTGTTTTGTATAATGAGAAAGGTCTTTATACATTATTATTGAACAAGTTTTTTAGGGTTTTTTTTTTTTTTTTTTTTTTTTTAAGACAGAGTCTCGCTCTGTTGCCCAGGCTGGAGTGCAGTGGCGCCATCTCGGCTTCCTCCAAGATCCGTCTCCTGGGTTCACGCCATTCTCCTGCCTCAACCTCCCGAGTAACTGGGACTACAGGTGCCCGCCACCATGCCCAGCTAATATTTTTTGTATATTTTTAGTAGAGATGGGGTTTCACTGTGTTAACAAGGATGGTCTCGATCTCCTGACCTCGTGATCCGCCCACCTCGGCCTCCCAAAGTGCTGGGATTATAGGCGTGAGCCACCGTGCCTGGCCAAGATTTTTATTTTTATAGACGGGGTCTCACTCTGTGGCCTATGCTGGAGCACGGCAGCGCCCACTGCAGCCTCGACATCCTGGGCTCAAGTGATGGGACTATAGGCGCAGCCCCCGCACCTGGCTAATTTTTGTATTTTGTAGAGTAGAGGTGGGGTCCCCATGCTGCCCTGGCTTGTTGGTCTGGAACTCCTGAGCTCGTGTGATCCTCCTGCCTCGGCCTCCCAAAGTCTGGGATTACAGGCTTGAGCCACCGCTGGCCCTAATCATAGTATTGACTTCTGGGCTTTGAATGGATGAGCTTCCTGTAGCACTGCTGCAGGTTATGCTCCACAAACAAGGATCCTGATAAGTGCAGTCTCCATCCAAAAAGACAACATAAATAAATGCTGTGTTAAATTGGAAATGCTGCATTACCAAATGCACTCCAGAGAGGAGACAACTGTAATTCTAACCAGGCAGTGGGAAGTTGAGTCTTCTGCTTACCGTTTTTCACACTGGATGATCGGAAGAGTCTTGCGGACCCACTGATGGCTCCGTGCATACAAACCTTGCTTCTCTGCTTCTCACCAACTTCCAGCACCAAGCTCCGTTCAGCTAAGGACTCAACAGCCTCAGACACCCAGCAAGGATGTGACTCAACTGAATGAAAATATCCCTTGTGGCCGGGTCTGGTGGCTCACGCCTGTAATCCCAGCACTTTGGGAGGCCGAGGCAGATGGATCACGAGGTCGAGAGATCAAGATCATCCTGGCCAACACAGTGAAACCCTGTCTCTATTAAAAATACAAAAATTAGCTGGGTATGGTGGTGCGTGCCCGTAATCCTAGCTACTCGGGAGGCCAAGGCAGGAGAATTGCTTGAACCTGGAGGTGGAGGTTGCAGTGAGCCGAGACTGCGCCACTGCACTCCAGCCTAGGGACAGAGTAAGACTCCACTGTCTCTAAAAAAAGAAAGAAAGAAAAAGAAAATATCCCATAAACCCTGACTGGATGTATCTCCGCTCAAGTCCCCCTTCGTTGTGTGCCAAAAATGCTTATAGTCACCCCAGTGTCACCAGCCCCCAGGAAGAGTGTGGTGAAGGCGGAGTTGGCCTGGAAAGAGGCAGCCTTGTTAACACTACAGTTCAGTCCTCCTATGTGACAAACTCAGCCAACACCTGACCTCGTAAATGTGTTGGGAGGCCCTTCTCAGAGCCTCCGAGACCCATGCAGGTGGGGCTGAGCTAGCTCCATAGTGAGCCTGGGCGGAGAGACAGGGGACAGCTACATCTAGCTGTCCTCTGCAGGTGTCCACCAGGACAGCCGTTGTCCCATCGGGCCCTCCATCAGGAGTCCAGGCCTGATGCCACAAGTCACTTGTGCCCTGTCCTTGGCACTCCCTGCACCAAGGCACGATGGATACAGGTGTCTGCGTGAGGCTGTCCTCACTGCCCACTCGTCCCACCCTGGGGTCATTTGTACGCACTCCCTCCTATTCTGGGATTCTTCCAACTTAGGGCCCAGAGGAAAGCGGCTGGTATGGAGAAGCAGCTTTGGGAGGCCTGGCGAGCCTCTCATACCTCACTGGAGATATCACACCACTGTCTGTCTACCAGTTATCCATTTAGCTTCGTGCATGGAGAAAAAACAATTCCAAAGCTTTCTGGAGAAAAAAAGTCTCTTCATTTCCATCTGTAGATCT